TCGGCTTTGCATTTATCTAGTAGAGGCTGAAAGTTTTTCGGGAACAGGTCTTTAAAAGAGTTTGCAACAAACACCCCCAAGCATTTGAACCCCTCCACAGCCCTTTTAAAGGGGAATAGGGATTGGGGAAGTGTCTCTGCCATTTTATTTACAAAAAATACTTCGCTCTTTTGAATGTTTAGTTTGTAACCTGATACACGGCCAAATTGATCTAAAATTGACAGTATGGGGGGGAGAGAGGATAAGGGGTTCGAGATCATAAGAAGAAGGTCATCAGCATATAGAGACAGTTTATGAACCAAGCCATGACGCGTAATGCCCTCAAACCTATCATGGCTTCTGAGCCAGATAGCGAGAGGTTCAATGGCTATATTGAACAACAGCGGCGAAAGAGGACACCCCTGGCGAGTACCACGTTGGAGAGAGAAAGGGGGAGATCGAATGCCATTAGTGTGTACAGAGGCAGATGGAGAGGCATATAGGAGTTTAATCCAGGAAATAAATTGGGAATCGAAACCAAATTTATCAAGACTAGAAAATAGGAAACCCCACTCAACCCTATCAAGTGTCACTATGACTTCGGGGGTGTTAGAGGAAGGAGAGAAAATTACATCAAGCAACCTCCTTGTGTTAAAAAAAGAGTGTCTCCCCACCATAAAGCCTGTTTGGTCCAGCGAAATTATATCTGGCAGTACGCGTTGGAGGCGGATAGCCAGTATTTTGGCCAGTATCTTACAGTCCACATTTAACAGTGAGATTGGTCTGTAACTGCCACATGAAGTAGGATCTTTGTCTTTCTTGAGAAGCAAGGAGATAGACGCAATGGACAACGTTTCTGGCAATCGGCCTGTCTGGAGAGAGTCATTGTACATCCTTGCCAAAATCGGGGCTAACTTGGAAGAATATGCCTTATAGAACTGTATAGCCGTCAGGCCCAGGAGACTTCCCACTTTGCATAGATTTTATTGCATCATGTATCTCAATGGTGGAGATGGGGCCGCCCAATTCGCCAGCGATGTTCTCGTTAATTTTGGGGTATGTTAAGTAGTCAAGAGGATTGGGGGTCGTGGCAGGGATCGGGGGACAATCCGAAGTGTAGAGATTGGTGTAAAATTCAGAGAAAGCCCTGTTAATATCAGCTGGGTTAGAAGTAAGGTTGCCATTGGACAATCTGATTTGGAGAATCAATCTGGACGCACTGGCCGCACGAGCTTGTTGAGCTAGGAGTCTACCAGCTTTGTCGCCCTGCTCAAAGTAATGCTGCCTACACTGTCTCAGTTGTCTCTCAACAATGCCTGTCATCAGAAGGTCGTGTTCTGAATGTAGCAGGAGGCGTTTTTTATAGAGAGAAGGAGAAGGAGAGGATGAGTACGTTTCATCGAGTAAGCGAAGCTCAACACAGACTTCTGAAAGCCTTTTCCTCTTTTCTCTTACGTGAAGTGTACGAAATGACCTGTCCCCGTACAGTGGCCTTAAGAGCCTCCCAGAGAATACCGCTACTAACGTCGGAAGTGTCATTCATTTCAATGTAGGAAGAAATCTGAGTGGAAAGATAGTCTCTAAATCCACTGTCTGACAGCAGGGGAGAATTGAATTTCCATAATGGAGGGGGGGACATACCAAGAGGGAAATTAATGTCAACCGAGGTGGGAGAATGATCTGAGATGGCTATCGGATGGTATTCGCATAAATTGACTAGATGAATCAAATTGTTATAGAGTAAAAAGAAATCAATTCGTGAAAAAGTGTGGTGCCTGTGCGAGAAGAAGGAAAATGCTCTACTTTGCGGGTTAATAAATCTCCAGGGGTCTGAGAGTCCTAATCGTGATGCATTGTGCAGTACTACCTTGGCCGAATTGGAGAGAGTAGCTTGTGTGAGCGATGACCTGTCGAGACTCACGTCCTGGACCAAATTCCAGTCACCAGCCATAATAATACGATGGTTGTCGGCGTTGGGAATTTGAGCGAAGAGGTTCACAAAAAAATGACCATCATCCCAATTGGGAGCGTAGATAGAAGCTAGTATCACTGGTGTGTTCTGTAGCGTGCCCGAAACTATGACATAACGACCATTAGGATCTGATATCGAATTTGTCAGTTCAAATCTGACATTCTTGTGAATAATAATTGCTGCCCCTCTGGCTTTGTGGGAGAATTTTGAGTGGAACAAGTGACTCATCCATGCCCTTTTAATACGAAGGGTATCAGAAGATTTAAGATGAGTTTCCTGCAGGAATATCATATCTCCATTCAGATGTTGCAGCCGTGTCATTACTTTACCAATTTTAGTAGCGTTGTTCATGCCCTTAGTATTCCAGGAAATCAGGCGCACTCCTCTACCTGTCGTTGTCATGGCAGACACCATCTAGGAAGTTCCTCGAAGACAAGTTGACCTGGACAAACACTGTCTTGCATACACAGGAGAAAGAGAAGAGAGGACGACTCCACATCAATGGAGCTGTTGCTCCCTCTAGAGGCAAAAGCGATACTCTGCGGATAACATGACGTGTGACCTATCAACAGGCATTCATAACGGCAAGGAACAACAAAAAGGAAAATATAAGAAGTCAATGAAAACAGGCCAAGAAAATAACTACTAGCCATGGAGAAACACACATGTCTGTCTGCGTGTTAACGCCATAATTAAAACCCATGTGAACTAATAGGTCAGACAAGTTACTGAGGTAGCCACGATGGGCTAGTAAACTGGGCTAACGTTACCAAACTGCAGCAGTCAGGTGGAGGAGGATGCATGAGAGCCGATACCAGATCGGTCAGCTGCAATAAAGTCCTTGGCCTCAGAAACGGAGGAAAGTCTCTTCCTGACCCCATCCTTCAGTGTGATGTTAAGCCTCGCAGGGCTAGGCTAGGGGTAGTGCGGGCTTGAAGCCCCGTTGGGAAAGTTCAGACATCACCTCTTGGTATTCCCTGCTCTGCTCCACTATCTCAGAAGGATAATCCTCGTAGATTGCAATGGGGGTCCCACGGTACCGCAGTTTGCCTCTCTTAGCTCTGGCCTCACAGATGATCTTATCTTTCTGCTGGAATCTGAGGAGTCTGACGACCACGGGTCTCGGTCTCTGACCCGGTCCTGGCTTGTTGGAGAGTGTACGGTGCGCTCTGTCGCACTCCGGTGGAGACTCAAAAACGCCGTCACCAAGGACCTCAGCCAGAAGTTCAGAAAAGAAGGTGGAGGGGTGAGGCCCTTCGATGGACTCAGGTAGACCAATGATCCTGATATTGTTACGGTGGCTGCGAGACTCGAGGTCCGTAGATTTAGCTTGTAGCTTGGTATTATTCTCAGCTAGCTTAGCACACATCGATTCCAAACTTTGTAAGCGTCCGTCTTGTTCGTTAGCGTTGGATTCAAGCGAATTAATTGAGTGGGTATGATCGGAGACTGTGGTTTGAATGCAGTCTAGCTTGGCTTCGAGCGTAGATAAAGTAGCCTTGAAGTCTGCAGAGATAGCATTCCGGTGTTGTTCCAGTTGGTTAGCCAAAACCGCCATGTTGAAGTCACTGCCATTTGCCGCCGGCACGGTAGACTGCTCCTTCTTGCCCGATTTCTGCTGCTTGGAAGCCATAATCCAGCACCAGAGTGTTTAGAATGGAATAATTATCCACCTGGCGATGGCCAAAGGCAAAACTATGGGGATTTAAAATAGTAAATGAATAAAAGTTACGGGAGCTAGATTCGACACTGCCTACTCCATCTTGCCCACCGGAAGTCCAATTGTCGTCTTTTTTAAGAACAAATGTTCTTATGTCCATCTTCAAAAACTCTGACAGTTTATTTTAAACATTGTCACAGCTCACAGGATAGGTACCTACCTGTCAGCCAATAAGACAGATGTTTATTTCCATTCAACTCTCTGGTTGGTCTGGTGCCTTGCCTCTGTTGCATTCACTTAACACGGGAAATTACAATCCTGCCGTCCTCTCTAGTGTCATGATGAGGTTCAGGTAAAGCACGGTTAATGTATTATATGATTGACTCAATAATATAATACATGACTTTGAGAGTAGGCAATCTAGGCATATTAACAAAATGAATTAAACATACTTATCACGGCGACGGTGTACTGAGATAAAAAACGGTGTACTGAGATAAAAAAAATAAAAATAATAATAATAATATTTTTTTTCTTTTTTTGCTAGGGGGCCCTTAGTGGCTGCGGGGCCCTAAGCGGCCACTTATGTCGCTTAATGGGTCGGGCCGGCTCTGGGATCACGTTAACTGAATATTTTCCGTCTATGACGGATTTTTTTTAACAATGACGGAAAAATCTGAAAGCAGTCCGTCATTTTGACAGATTAGAACAAACTCAGAACAGCGCCAAAGTTTCCCCGCAGCGAGGCTCTGGTGTTATGCATGCCCGCCAAAAAGGAAATGATACCGTTTCCAAACCTAACTTTGCCGTACAAATCATTGAAATGTCTGTGAGTTTTGGCTTTACGCTGTGCGCGCTCTCGCAAGGTGCAGTGGGCATGCATAACATGGCGCTAACAGTTCACGAGCATGTGCCCCGCCCCCCGTTGACAGTTCACGACTGTGCTCTCTCCCCCCCCCCCCCAATCAAATATTGGTTACTTAAATACTGGGTACAATACTGATCCACATCAAATCAGCATATCATTTGATTTAAAATGATGATGTAAAAAATGAGCTATGAGTTATATTTGCTTTCTAAATGTAGCGAAGTGGAGGTATATGCAGCATAAAATAGAAATTTGCAATGAAGGTTCAAGTGTCTGAAAATGGTTCTTAAGAAATGTACTTGAGTTGATCTCCTTACTTACAGATTCCACTACTGGAAATAAGATAATATATATTACACAGATAAATATGAACCAAAGGAAGTATAGTAGGTTGTTTCTTCTCCAACTCTTGCAGCTCAACCTTCCTCACCCTGGAGGCTGAGTGGAGCGTGCCGAGCTTCACTGGCATGGAAAGGTTTTTCTGAACAGATGGTGATCTGTGTTTGCGTGTCTTTGTGCAGATGCAGAAAGGCCAACTTCCCAAGAGATCTCCCCCAGATCTCCCTCATTTTCATCTTCATCAACGAGGCTCTGTCGGTGATCCTGCGCTCAGTCCACTCAGCTGTCAATCACACGCCGGCTCACCTGCTCAAAGAAATCATCCTGGTGGATGACAACAGCGATGACGGTCAGTGGAAATGTTTCTATCCCAAGAGCCAGCAGTGTGGCTTTTAATCGTTCTGATTATACCTGTTAGGGTAATCTGTAAGGAAAATACAGTATGTGCTAGTAGAGGCAGACGGGGAGACTTCAACACAACAGGAGTGGGAAATAAAGCTCCCAGCATGTCTTTTGGTTTCAAACATGGCCAGCACCAGAGTCAGAATCAGAATGCTTTATTTATCCTTGGGGAAATTGGGGTTTGTGACAGCTGCTTCATTTCAGATAGAGATAAAATAAAAAATAAATCCAAATGTAATAGAAATATTTATATAAAGTCAGTTCATTTAGAATATACAAGATCAAATGAAACAAAGATATTTTAATAAACATTAGAAGTCAAATCAAACCCATCCCCCGCTCCCCCCAAATGTTTCCAAGTTTTGTTAGCATTGCTTTTCCTTTATATCTGACGTCTAGCCACAGATGTAGCAACAGATTCAGATCTTCAGGGAATGAGCTTTACATTTAAATATTGCGATCTATTAAATTGTAGTGCATATATAATCCCATGCAGTTCACAGCCTCCCTACTAACAGCATGTGGTCTCTTCCAAGAGGCCCTTTCCCTTACCACAACAGACACAACCACTCAGCCTTTTTTTGGAAATGAACACGCAAAGACGTCAACACAAACTAATCGGTGGCTTAAAAGGAGTAGATTGCCATTTTGGGAGAAATACTTATTTTTCTTGCCAAGAGTTAAATAAGATCGATTCCACTCTGTCTTTACGGTCGACGTGAAAAAAATAGAAAAAAGAGATCTGCTGCTTCAGGCTGTCACAGAGACGATGAAAAACATATAAAATGGGACCCGGCCAGACAATACATGTCTGTCTGTGGGATACACTTCTAAATCATGGTGCTAATGAGGCTAACGTCAATCGTTGAGGTATACTGTTGGAATGTTACAAGTCAAGTAGTATATGTAGGTGCTACATTGAAATATATAATGCTGATAAACCAAGGAAATCCCAGTTTAAGTGATAGCCTGCTACCTGATGGGACATCGGTCCCTATTGGTCTTAATTCATCTGATATTGACGCTGTAGTCTGCTTGACATCATGTTTGGACTCCTTATAGATAAAGAAAATGCTTTTTTTTTTATCTGACTCGTGAAGACAATACAATTTGTATTTACCGCGATTCAAATGAAAGCAGATATTTTCACCCAATAAGGGGCGTGGCCATGTCGAAGAGGTAAATACTGGATGGGTTGCTCTCACGGCTCCTGTGGTTCATAACAAAGTAGCATTATTGTTGCATTTGTCGAGGTGACTGATGGTGTCGAATTTCTGCGGGGCAGACAGACAGATAGTGGCGGAGCACCACAATTGGATGTCACAGACGAGATGTCCCCGTCTTATTTATTGGGCTGGGCCTGCCAAACCTGGCTTTGTGAGATGAGGTGGGGAGAGACGATGGGAAGGGAAGGAGAGCCAGGCAGAGCGAGAAGGAGAGGGGGGGTACAGAAACGAAGAGCAAAGAAAAACTAGAGAATGCAATTCCTGAAGAAATTGCTAGTGGGAATGCTTTATGCTGAAAATCTGACACTAAACTGCTATGCTGAAATGTAATGTGTAAGAAGAAAGTGAAGAATTTAGATTGAAATGATACATGAACACTGGGGGCTTGAATGTGTGATGAGAGAAGAAAAGAGAGTAAAAAGGCTTGGAAAAGCAGCAAAATATTTGAACTGCAAACCTTTGAACTAACTTGATGGTGAATGATCTGTCGCCATGCCAACGGCATTTGAAGAAATCTCAATCTCATGTCTTCACGGCTGGACTGTTAGCACACATGTGAAGTTTTAGCACTTTTTGACAATTTTCATAGGAGTTATAGCAATATCGTGTTTTATTGCAAGGGATGCGTTGCCATGGCAACAGCTTTTGAGGAAAACTCACTAATGGTATATAGACATGTTGAGGGCTGGACCATTAACTGTCATCTGAAGTCTGGTGGTGTTTGGATCATTTGCATAGGTATCACGACAACATCGTGTTTTATGGCGAGGGATGCGTTTCCATGGAAACAGCCTATGGTGAGATCTCAGATTTGGCGTAGAGCTGTTGAGGCATGGACCGGTGATATACAAGCGAAGTTTGGGGACGATCGGACCGTGTCCATTGGAGTTACAGCGACATCGTGTTTCATGGCGAGCATTGTGTTGCCATGGCAACAGCATTTGAAGAAATCTCAAAACTGTCTCGTAGATGTCTTCACGGCTGGACTGTTAGCACACATGTGAAGTTTGAGCACTTTTTGAACATTTTCATAGGAGTTAAAGGGACACCGTGTTTTATGGCGAGGGATGCGCAGAGAGAGAGAGAGAGAGAGAGAGAGAGAGAGAGAGAGAGAGAGAGAGCGAGAGAGAGAGAGGAGAGAGAGAGAGAGAGAGAGAGAGAGAGAGAGAGAGAGAGAGAGAGATAGAGAGAGAGAGAGAGAGAGAGAGAGAGAGAGATAGAGAGAGAGAGAGAGAGAGAGAGAGAGAGAGATGTGATGTGTGAGTATGAAATGAACAGTTGGAGTGATGACATCATCGTGTTCCATTACACAGGTGTTTATAGTTGAGCTAACGAGCTATGAAGAGATCAAAGGTTTGCATTGTTCTGAATGACAGATACACCTCTTACATGTGAACGTTTTGTGGAAGAACGATAACAGATATTTGTGAAATTTCAAAACGTGAAGCATGTCAAGGAAGTTGAGTATCTGAAGTGTAATTTTTGTGTACTTTCGGGTTAATAATGTGGCCTTTTTGGCAGTTTAACTAAAGGTGTGCGGCTGCTGCTGTGAGGAAATATCTGCCTGAAATTACAATGGGCTTTAATGGAGACATGTTGAACGTTTTTGTCACTTCATGCCCTCAAGAGGCATTTTGTTTTATTATTTTTGCTTAATTATTTGTCATTTTTCAAGCTACGAGATGTTTTCCTACGTTTGTCATGACAAATTATGTCTCAAGAATGTAGGGTTTGGGAATTATGGCAGTTTTAAAAAAAAATATGAAGGCACATTTCAAGATTTCTTACCCTCTAGCTGTGACATCACGCACTCTAGTTAATGTTAAAATCTGAAGAAAACCTCTTTAACAAGGTCTGAACAATGTTTCATATCTCTAAAAGTAAGAATCAGATTTAAAAGTTGTGTTACACGAATAATGTCAGAAAGACGTGTAACATTTTAAAGTCGGAATGAGGTTTCTGAGTGAAAGTATGAATGCACAGTTAGCAGTTGAAGTCGCATGAAGATTTGTTGAAGTCTGAAGAATATCTCCATTGACTTCAATGTTAAAAATGTGATGTATTATGGGATGTATCTCTGGAATTATGAAAGTTATGAATGATAAAAGTAATAGCAGTCGATTCCCGACCGAGCTGAACGTTTTGATGTTTGAACGGAGTTTCTGCGATGTTGAATGTGGGAGGAGAAGACGGACAAAATAATTGGATGGAATAATAATAAATGTTTTGTCCGTAGCATAACATATAGTTGGAATGCTGTATCAGCATTCCCACTAAATTAGGGAAAAACGGATGAAACTAAAAGATGGAAAAGGTCAAGGAGTGAAAGTGTGAAAATGGGCAAAGGGAAAAGGAAGAAGAGAGAAAATGAGATGAAGAGGCATCAGAGAATGGGAGGAGAGGCTGAAAGAGCAAAGCAGGCTATTGGGGAGAGTGGAAGAGACAAAGACATGGAAAGGTTCAGAGACAGATACCCCATTCACACCAACGGTGTTTCGGGGCCGGTTTGGTGCTGGTGCTTGAAAAGCACCGGGTTTTCCTGTTCACACCGCAGCGGAGCAGCCTCTAAGCTCCGGAATCCGGTTCGTTTCGAGCACCAAAAAGTTGTCCGTGTAGAAGCAAGAACCGCATACGTCACGCTTACGTCGGAGGGGGGCGAGATTAACCTGAGCTAACAGTTAAGGCGAGTACGGCAAATAAAAGTTGTAACAAGCAGTAGTGCTGAGCAAAGTGACTAGAACGCAACCACACACTTGTTAAAAAAAAACACACTTTATAAAGTCAGGCAACACTAACCAGGCTTCGTGTGATTCTGTTTATTTGTACCTTACTTTGACCATCCGTTCGCTGTTATTGATCATTGTGGAGAGCAGGCAGACGTTTTGTTTGTTATTATAGCAGCTATCGGATGGAATCAATACATGGGCTGCACAGGTTGTCATGTCCGACTATCACAAGTAGAATCATAATGAAAAATACGTCGGTAAAAAGTGCCTGGAGAAAACGGCTTAGCAAGTAGTCAGTTTAGCTTCGGTTGCTATGCTAACATCACCCATGTTATACCAGAGAAACTTTCATAACAGCGTTGTGATGCCAAACAGCGTCAATTCAGACTGACACACATTCACTTAAAGGGAACTGGGGATATGTATCAGCTGCTTGTGTGACAGTCAGACAGTGAATACTTTAGAGCCGTGTGAGCTAACCCGGAGCTAACGGGAGAATACACTCGTGGAAGAGCAGCAGCACTGCAGCGGTCGGTAAATGCCGCTGAAACACATTAATAAACAATGAACCACGGCACTCTGGAGAAAAGTATAAGGTTGGAGAAGTCGTTATTTAATTTAATCTGGCTTCGTATGATTAAAAGCAACGCAGTCCCCGGCCCGTTGTTGTTGTGAGGTGAGCTCCGTTGGGGAGAAAATCAGCGACGTAAACTGTGACGTCATGACGCAGCAGCGGCAGCACCAGTCGGGCTCTGAGCGGTGTGAAAAGAGCCGGAGCTAAACCGAAGTACCGGTTCTGAACCTGAAAAGCTCTAGCACGGAGCTTGAACCGGAGTTGCGTTGGTGTGAAAGGGGTAAGAGAGGCTTTAAGATGAATGAGGACAGACAGAAAGGAGGGGAGGGAGTGTAAGGAGGTGGGATATCAGGAAGGGGATCAGACGGAACAAATAACAAGGAAATGTGAAGAGAGATAAGATTGGGGAAGCTTTAAAGGA